TGGTTGTATATGTGTGTGTTCGTGTGCGATTGCATACTACAAAGCGTGGACACATATTATTTCGATACTCGAAATGTTTGTAGGTAGGAACGATAGAAGGGTAGAAGGAATAAACAGAGATAAGYTGCACGTAGGTATACGACAAMAGTATAAGGTCCAAACGAACCGACGGTCGAAATAAAGAAAGAAGGTGCGTGGCGGTCTGTTTTTATTTTACCAAACGTGTCATTTCTTTTCTATTTAAAAATGTTTCTATTTTATTGAAAAATTATTATTATTAAATCATTTATTTATTTCGCAAATATTATAATTTACAATTATGAAATATATAGAATATAATAATTGTATTGTCTGCAATATTTTACGACAAAAAAATGATTATCAGATACATCAGGGAAAAAGAATTAGACAAGACTGTGGAATAAATGAGGAACAGCTGACAAATTCCATTCAAAAGCAAGTAAATTACAGTCACATTTTTATATTTTGCTTCTTTATAAAATATATTTGATGCATAAAGACAAAATATGTCTATAAAATTTGATTTTTATATGTTTTTATGAAAAATACCCAAAGAGATGTACTGACCCATGCATATATGAAAATTATATTACAAATTGTGATATTTGCGTATTTAAGAAACTTATACTAATTTTTCAATAAAATAAAAACATTTTTAAGATGTTGAACGAAATCTGAGACTCGTAGTGTACACAGTTCGATAAGATGAAAGAGCGATATAGTTCAATGCATTTTTTAGATTTTTCCTTGTTCAGATCTTTATTTAGACGAGAGTATTTAGAAAGATAAGTTTGTGGTCCAAAGAATAAGGACGAGATATGTTATAAATAATAAGGGTCTCGAAGTGTGGTAAGCTACAGAGTTGAAAAAACATTTCTAGAGAATATCTTTATTAGATCTTTCATTCCATTTTACCAGAACCTTCGTTCAGTCCAGCAGTATTTTCCATATGTTTTTCGTAACGTCTTTATTTCATCTATCCTAAAATGTTTGTTATATAGAGCAAAAATGTAGATGAAAACGAGAAACAGAAAACCATACTAACARAAAAAATTTTATACCTGAGTTTCAAAAAAAGGATTACTTATATTTAATTAATTTCTGAYGAATTATATTTCCTTTGATAAACATCCTACMATTTTKGTKWCTATYTATRRCTATCGCATTCAGCATTCCGTTTTTATTGCTTGAATTGTGAAAAGTACACTTTTTATCAGCTATTACACTCAGAGACCATACCGGTGACCTTTCTTATATATAGTAATAATATTATAATAAATAAATCCTACAATTATCTTACTCTTGAAACTGTACATTCGTTCGTCAGATTCTCTCGAAACTTAGATTTTTGAAGGTTTCACTTCTAACACGTGTGATCTGCACACATGATTTTTTTTAATATAATATTATTACCATATATAATAAAGATCACCGGTATGGTCTCTTGGTGGAATAGCTGATAAAAAGTACACTTTTCTCAATTCAAGCAATAAAAACGGAATGCTAAATGCGATAGTCGTAGATAGACACCAAAATCGTAGAA